TTGAAGTCACTGGTCTGCAGGCCACCAGTTGAATAGCCCTGTCTTAGATCCTTATATACTGCTTCTTTTTATACTTTACATTTTTGCTATTTTGGGTGTAACTGGGACCTAGTACACAATTTGGTTCCACCTCATGCACCACGTGATGTGAATGACAATAAAGAACCTTGAACCTTGATCACTGGGTTCAGACAGGAACGATTTAAAGTAATGGTCAAAATACTTGAAACAACTTGTTAAGGCAAAAAAGATCCTTCCAGTCAATCCAGAAACAATAAATTAGAAACATGTTACAGTAATCATCGTGGATAACAGATGTCCTGGGCAGTGAAGGGTTCATTTCTACAGCTTTTCAGCCCCCCAGGACCTTTGTTTGTTTATTCCCGTGTCTCGTGTGTGCGTCTCCAGCACGAGTCCTGCTATCGAACCTTCCTCCCCCTCCCATCGACCTCCTCAGGAAACTCACACTTCCTGCCTCTGGACACCCCCACCCCCAGCAGTCGGAATAACGAGGGGAAGGCTCTGTTTCACGTGATCGCGGCGGATAAAACAGTTTCTTGCGATGATGTAAAAGAAGGCTGTTGTTTAATTGTTGACATCTGAGCGTTTATGCTCCGAGGGTCTATCTCATGTCAGCATCAAGGAAACACCAACTGTTCTGGTTCCTGGGTTTGTTCCACGGCCGTCCAGTCGCTTCTATTCTCATCGCTTTTGGACTGATTGAAAACGTAAATACACAAACACGGCTGGCAAAGTTGTTGAGTTTGGTAGGACGAAAAGAGCAAACTGAGAGAGAAGGAAGGGAGGTCTTAACAGTGAAACATTTCTTCTTTATTAATTCTAATTGATATTAAGTAAATCAACAGTTTTTATGGGAGTAAAACAAACCCAGAATTCCTGTAGTGTTGAGGTAGCCCGTCTGTAATGTGTCATTTATTACCGCTGTAGAAGTAGTAGCTTTGTTATTGAAAAATAATCGTTCTAAATATTTAGCTTCAGTCTTTTCTGTGTAAAAAAAAATTAAAAAGGGTTCCAGTTTGAAGTTACTGACCGCGTGGCGTAGGCCGGTTTGACTTCATGTGGGTTCCTGCGGTCAGACCAGAAGATGAGCAGTCGGTCAAACAAAGGTTCAATGTTGGCTACTACGTTTTTGCCTTCGGGGTAGATCTGCAGCAGTCCTCCTTGTGTCTACAAAAACAAATATATACAAAACTTTGTCACATAGTTGAGGTGATAATACTGTACAATTTACAACTACAGTCCTGAAATGAACCATGGTCTTCTTAAGTTGAGAATGTGGTTGTGTTCTTTGTGCCACCAAAGGTTTAGGCTCCAGTTAACTCATTATAAACTTTACCTTCAACTTGACAAAGAAAAGCATCGAACAGTAACACTGAAAGCTTAATAAAGGCTTCTTTTAGTAGATTTTGGTGATTAAGACCCAAACCAAGCTAACAAACATACCTTGACGTCCCAGTTCTTGTTAAGGTAGTAGATACATGTGATGCAGCGGCCGTCACCATTGGGGTTATCAACATGGCGGACGTATCCTGCTCCGCTCCCTGGATAACAAGCAACCATGGCCTAAAAATGAAAAGGAATAGAAATTTAAACATTACTGGACTGGAAATGCAACAGTGAAGCGTCTACAAGAAGGGACAGAGCAGACTGTACTCCTTGAGGAAGCTGAAGTCCTTCAGTGTTTGCAGCAACATGCTGCATATCTTCTGTTGTAGAGAATGCTATCTCTTCTGCCATCATCTGCTGGGGGAGCAGCACCAGAGCAAGTGACTTACAAAAGATCAACAAGCTCATAAAGAAGGCTGGCTCAGTTCTGGGGACTCCTCTAGAACCTTTGGAGATGATTGTACAAAGAAGGATTCTTCATCAAATGAAGAACATTATAGACAACCCTCAGCATCCTCTTCATCAGAGTGTCATACAACAACAGTCTTCAGTCAGAGGCTTTTTTCAGATCCGCTGCAAGACAGACCGCTACAAGAGATCCTTCCTGCCCACAGCCATCAGCATCTAGAACAACTCTTCAATAAAAACCAGGATGATGAGTTACAACAACATTTAATTTCCCTTTAGGATTAACAAGGTATTTTTGAATTGAACTGAATTGGAAACTTTAAAAAATACCCCCTTCACTAAGCATTGTAGCAACCACAGTGAACTATTCTGAGAGGAGGCGTATTTGAATTCTTGACACGTCTTCTTTACTTCTGAGAACTGTGTCAAGGTTCAGCTGCTGTTCCCAGCTAAGAAATGAGCTGCAGACACAGTATCCACTCTCCAACAATGGTCTCACGCTGGTATTTCCCCTGCTGGACATCGTGAACGTTGGAGTCTGTTAGCCGGAGGACGTCCAGGTCAATGTACATTCCAGACGAGGGTCACCGAGATCGTGTGTCTGGAAACGGGCTTGAAGTGAAAATGGCAGAGCCACGCCACGGTTTAAACAAGCCGGGTACGAGCAGAGCCAGCGTCAGCGTGATGTACTGGAACATGCATGTGTTTCATGTCACACATAGAATAGTTTCCAGTATGTTGCCGTTGACTGGAACAAGCTTGTAGCCTCTGGCTGTTTTTGCAAACATCTAAAAAGATGAGTCATATTCTAGAAATTGAGAAAATATTCCCAAAAAATGGAAACAAAAGAAGTTAACATGTCAGTGCCTTGACTCAAGCTGGCCAACAGTCAGTGAATTGCTTCAGCTTGACTTTACAACACCATCACTCACAACTAACAGGTTGTTTTGCAAAACAACTTCATCTCCGTGATCTTTAAACACTTAGAAACACTCGTTGAGCAAAATCCACAGGAAGCCAACTGATCACTGCGTGAGTGGTCTGTTGCGTCAGACTGTTGAATTTTTTCACATATTATAGGTTTTTTTTTTTTATTCCTGTCGAATACTGTTGTGATTGTGGGAGTAATTTGTTATAGAAGCAATTCCGTTAAACCTCAAACATGTAAACAAACAAAAAAATAAACATCTTCTCTTTAGTGATACAGGAAACATCATTTCCTGGCATTTTGGTGTCTCGTTTCTGCCCACATAAACTTCTTCCTAATTTTAGATCTTTGTTTTTGTCCTGTCAACTACTGAAGGCAGTAACTGGCTATATTTAGCTTTAGTGTTTAGCTTTTTCTATTTTACCTGGTAATATGGACATTGTTGAAAGAAAAAAGCTTGAAAATCATAACCAAAAAAAAAATGTACGTTGACACAAAACAGCAAATACTGACTCTCTTTTTATCTCGGTTGCTCCCCTCTCAGTACAAAGGAGCTTTAGGGCTACGCAAAAAATTTTTGTTATAAAAATTACATTGCCACGCTAAGAAAAGAAATAATTAAAATCCATAAAATTACGAGAATAAAGTCGTACGATACTTCTTTTTTTTTTACCGCTCTCTTTGATTATTATGTTTTTCCACGAGCCAGATCCACAACGCGACCTGTCAGTCAATCCAGTAGGAGTGTCAGCAAATGACCAATCCGAAGCTAAATGCTAATAGATAAGTGAGTCGCTGGGTCTCTTCAGCCTCTTTCTGGCATATTTATTGAAGACCTAACAGCGCTGAACGCACAGTTTCTCTCACTGAGCGCTGTGTTCAAACGGAAACAAAAACTAAAGTCATGACGTAAGGACGTCACGTGTTTGCATCAAAGAAGCAGCATACAAAAACACAACAGCAGGAGGCAGTATTGAAACACGTTTTGAGTAAGAGGGTTAATAATTAAGTTTAACAAATATTCTTCATTTTACCAAAGTTAAAATGCGGTCAACCCTGCTTTATTGTTTCGGAGTTCGGATAACATTACGACTCATTTAGCTTCAGATTGGTAATTTGCTGACACGCCTACTGGATTGATTGACAGGTTGCCTCGTGGATCCGACTAGTGGAAAAAAAAAAAAATAAATAACGACAGCTGTAAAAAAAAAAAAAAAAAGTCTCGTACGACTTTATTCTTGTAATATTGAGACTTTATTCAACTTTATTCTCGTAATACTATGACTTTATTCTCACAATTTTATAGCTTTTAATTTGTTTTTCTTAGCATGGCAATGTACCGGTAATTTTTTTGTTTTTTTGCGTGGCCCTAAAGCTCCGTCGTACCTTAGGGGTCGCCAAAGTGAAGTAACTCGCACTAAGATTTGGCAATTGATTTTATGCCGGCTGTCCTTCCTGACGCAACCACAGACCACCAAGCTACGACATCCCTCAGTGTGGAGCAGGGAGCTGCCATCTCGGGTGCCTGCCTGGAGCTAGAGTTGCATTCAGGCCTAAAAAATCTGTCCCAGCCCAACTTGTTTGCCGACCTGGACCTGACAGATTAACTGTAATTACAAGCCCAAACCTGAAAAAAGAAAGAAATTATTTTAAATTAAGCTTTTACTGCTTTTGTAAGCAAATCAGTTTGGCATGAAATTTTTTAAATGTATTTCAACGAAAGGAAGATATAAGATTTCTTGTTTCACCAAATGAATATTAACGTACAAAACAAACAGCCTAAAAAAGCAAATCTAAAGATAGGCTATTATACAGATGAACAAAAATACTTTTAGAGCAAAATTATTTGGAAAAATATAGAACAAGGCTATTTTAATTGAACGCGCTTCTCGCTTCGGCTTTTGTAGATGCTGCTACTTCCTTCACCGCAGATGACAGCAGGTGCAGAGACGCACGCGGCCGGTGATAAGCTAATCCATCTGAAGCTTAACTGGACCTTTTTTTTACCTCTTTCAACCAGCTGGTCAGACCTGCCTCCTCCTCAACAAGTAGATTAACACAACTTTATATTGTGCATTCTTATTTAGTTTTATTTGTGCTGTATGACTCGTAAAACCATACCAAAAGCCTGAAACCGACCCGGCCATCTATTTTGGCCCGGCCCGAATTTCGGGTCGGGCGCGGGCCCGGCTCTACCTGGGGGAAAAGATGGTTGGGGTTAAGGGCCTTTTTTTTTTTTTTTTTTTTTTTCATTTAGCCTTTATTTATCCAGGTTAGTCTCATTGAGCCACGAGAACTCATTTTCAAGAGAGACCTGTTTAGGGAGCAGATGGTGGGGTTAAGGGCCTTGCTCATGGGCCCAGAGAGGGGCGAATGAGGGTGGTGGCAAGTGTGGGTGTTTCACCTACCCCACCCACAATTTTTTTGATGTTGTCGGGGCCGGGGCGTGAACCGGCGATCTTCGGATCACAAGCCCACCTCTCTAACCTCTGCGCCACCACTCCCCAAACGCCTTGCTTGAGGACACAGAGCGGGGCAAATAAGGGTAGAGGCAGGTGTGGATGCTTCACCTTTCCCACCCACATTCTGATGCTATCGATCCGAGGATTGAACCTGCGACCTTCCAATCACAGGCTCACCTTCTCTAACCTCTGTGCAACCACTCCCTCTCAAAAAACATCAAATACTGACGTATGAGCTCAACTTTAAACACAATGAAGGGAGCTTTTGCAAATGACGTTAATTATGACCACTTCAGAGCGACCCACGGGGACTTTTTGACTAATGATAATGACAGTGTGGGGAGATCTTCATAAATAGTTGGTTCCTGTTTTTGTTTGCATCTTGGCTCTTAGGGCTGCAGTTTCAAAATAATGGTTTTGGGAAATGTTCAGGCTGCTGTTGTATAGTTTGAATATTATATATGAATGCACGTACTTGTGCACGCTAATGCTTTACTTTAGGATGTTATATTTTTCTATAAATTTAAGTAAAAAAAATCAGCATTCAAGCTTTAAACAAAGAACAAGCAGCTACCGTCAACTCCCTTTACGCGTTCATTCGTCATTTTTTCCTCACGCTGATTAAAATGAACTGAGGAACATCATGACAAGTTGTGACAAAAAACAGGAGCTTGCTTTTAGCTCGCTGCTGTCAGTCACATTCATATATTAGCACCAGCTTCAGATCAATGTGCAGCTGATAACCGTGAGCTGATAACATGCCCTCTTGAGCAAACAATAACCTGTTCTATGTGTAAGCACGACAGATACAAAAAACGACAGCTTAATAAATAAAACTCAAGATTTAAATAAAGTCCCTAACTGAGCTCAACAACTTGATTTAAACAAGCTTTTCTCAAGAATATGTTCAACTATAATGGGTGCGTTTTCCCAACAAAAAGCTTTTTGATTCTTAACGACAGCAGTTAACCACAATTAACATGTAATATGCCCTACCAGACATCTCCGCCCTCGCCTGAAGCGTAAACATTAAACACTCGCAAGCATACTGAAGCTAAGACGAGACAGGCATATTTAATTTTAAAAAGACCGTTGAGTGAGTAAAACTGCTTGAGGCGTTGCAAAGTGAACCAATTTCAAACCAGCCATCTATTGTATATGTCTACTTTGGTTCAGTCTCTTCTTGTTCACAGAATGCACAGACACCTTGATACAGCACATCCTGTCTCTCATTTCTAGCTTCCTGTCTTCTTCACCGCTGCCAGGATCAGTGCCCATGCAGAGACTGTGTTTTTACCACCTGTCTGCCAAGTATGAACGTTAATGCCCAAACTGCAGCTAACCCGGTCGGTGCAGGCACATCCAGATGTTCTGGAGGA